TGTAGTGACTGTGAAGAGCCATTGCACTCCAGCCTGGGCAACACAGTGAGACCCTGTCTCTAAAATAAATAAATAAATAAGCAAAACAAAAAAATAGAGTGTATACTCTTAGGCAAAGTTTCTAATGGTATGTGCTATAAAGAAGAGATTATATTTAATGTATGTTAATATACATCAGAGCCTCTAAGAGGACCTATGAAATCTTAAAACAATTCTCTACATATTGAAAGTAGAGGACAGTTAACTGGATGTGGTGCACACAACTGTAGTCCCAGCTACTTGGGAGGCTGAGGCAGGAGGATCACTTGAGCCCAGGAGTTCGAGGCTGCAGTGGGCTATGATCATGACACTGAACTCCAGCCTGGGTAACAGAGTGAGACCCTATTTCAATTTAAAAAAAAAAAAGTGGAGGATAGGTAGGGAGTAGAATAGGGGGAGATGGGAAAATTATGAAGAGCAAAAGTCTTAAGCAAAACAAAAAGTACTGGCATTCATGATTCTAAATTTTAACACCACGAATCTGTGCATTTCTATATATAGATATATATTTCTATAATTGCATAATATAAGGTTTGGAGAACATTTCTAACATGCTGGTACCTGTAAAACTTTGAGGAAGAGAGTAAACTTGGGGGAAGGGTATTTTCAATTAATGTACTTCTATAATGTCTAACTTTTCTAGTAAGAATATATTAATATTACATAATTTTTACTAAATATTTAAGGACTTTATTAAGGTATAATTTACGAACAATAAACTGCATACAATTAAAGTGTATAATTTGATAAGTTTCAATATGTATATTTACCTGAGAAACCATCATAATAATCAAAATAGTGAACAAATTTCCCACCTCGAAAATTTTCTTATATTCCTTTGTAATCACTCTCTCTTCTGTCCCTTCCTCTCCCTTCTTCCCAGGCAACCACTGATGTTTTTTCTATCACTATAGATTATTTTGTATTTTCTAGAATATTATATAAACGGAATATTTTTTCTCACTTTTGCTCAGCATCATTATTTTAAGATTTATCCCTGCATAATTATTTTGAGATTTATCCATTTTATATCTGTATTAATAGTTCATTCTTTTTTTAGCCTGAGTAATAACATAAGTTAAAACATTTTGTGTGTATATTTAAGGTATATAACATGATGTTATAGGATACATATAGATAGCAAAATGGTTACTATAGTGGAGCAAAGTAACAGCCATCATTTTGTATAGTTGCCCATTTTTGTTTCTTTTTGTAGCAAGAGCAGCTAAAATCTACTCATTTAGCAGGAATTCCAAATACAGTACAATTTTTTAACTTCTATGTTTAAATTTATTTTTAATTGACACATACATATTTATGGGGTACAAAGCGATGTTTCGATACTTACAACATATAGTGAGCAGATCAGGGTAATTAGCATAGCCATTATCTCAAACATTTATCATTTCTTCATCTTGAGAACATTCAATATCCTCTCTTCTAGCTATTTGAAAATATATATTATTGTTAACTGTAGTCATCCTACTAGAGAACACTAGGGAAGAGAACACTAGGACTCACTCCTCCTATCTAGCTGTAATTTTGTATCCTTTAACAAATCTCTCCCTATCCCCTTCCCCCCCACCCTTCTTAGCCTCTAGCAACCTCTGTTCTACTCTCTATAATACAATGTTATTACCTGTAGTCCTCATGTTGTACACTAGATCTCTAGACTTGTTCATCCTACACATCTGCTACTTTGTATCCTCTGACCTGCATCTCCCCATTTCCTCCCCCTAACACCCTGGGCCCCAGTAATCAGTCACTGTTTGATTCTCCATCTCTGTTTATTTGACTTTTTTTTTTTCAGATTCCACATATAAGTGAGATCATGCAATATTTCTCTTTCTGTGTCTGGCTTATTTCACTTTGCATAATGTCCTTCGGTTTCATCCATGTTGTGGCAAATGGCAGGATTTCATTTTTAAAGGCTGAATGATATTCCATTGTGTGTGTGTGTGTGTGTGTGTGTGTGTGTATGTGTGTGTGTGTGTGTGTGTGTGTAGTTTCTTTATCCATTCTTCTGTCAACGGACACTTACGTTGTTTCCATATTGCGGCTATTGTGAATAAGGCTACGATGAACATGGGAGTGCAGGTATCTTTATGAGTTAGTGATTTCATCTCCCTCCCAGAAGAGGGATTGCTGGGTCATGGCAGTTCTATTTTTTATTTCCTTAGGAACCTCTATACTGTTTTCCATAATCCTGCACCAATCTACATTCCCACCAACAGCGTACTATGATTCCCTTTTCCCTACACTCTTGCCAACATTTGTTATCTTCTGACTTTTTGATAACAGCCATCCTAAGAGGTGGCATGTCGTAGTGGCTCTGATTTGCACTTCCCTGATGGGTAATGATGTTGAACACCTGTTCATATCCCCACTGGCCATTTTTATGTCTTCTTCGGAGAAATATCTGTGCAGGTCCTTTGCCTATTTTTTAATTGGGTTGTTTTACTACTATTGAGTTGTATGAGTTCTTTATACATTTTGGATATTAACTCCTTATCAGATATATGGTTTGCAATTTTTTCCCAAATTCATAGGCTGCCATTTCATTTTGTTGTTGTTTTTTTGCTGTGCAGAAGCTTCTTAGTTTGACATAGTCCCATTTATTTATTTTTTCTTTTGCAATGTGAGCGAGAGGGAGACCCTGTCTCTACTAAAAATAGAAAAAATTAGCTGGGGGTGGTGGTGTGTGCCTGTAGTCCCAGCTGCTCGAAAGCCTGAGGCAGGAGGATCGCTTGAGTCCAGGAGTTCGAGGTTGCTGTGAGCTAGGCTGACGCCACTGCACTCTAGCCTGGGCAACAGAGCAAGACTCTGTCTCAAAAAAAAAAAAAAAAAGAAGTATTGGTATTAATTCTTCTTTGAATGTTTGGTAGAATTCAGCTGTGAAGCCATCTGGTCCTGAACTTTTCTTTGTTGGGAGGTTTTTGATTACTTCTTCAATCTCTTTGTTATTGGTCTGTTCAGCCTTGCAATTTCTTCCTGATTCAGTTGTGGTAGGTAAATTCCTAGGAAAAAAATACCAGGAATTTATCCATCTCTCTAGGTTATCCAATTTGTTTGCACATAATTGTTCATCAGAGTCCCTATGATCGTTTTTATTTCTGAGGCATCTGTTGTAATGTCTTCACTTTCATTTTTATTTATTTGAGTCTTTTCTTTTTTTCTCAGACTAGCTGAGGGTTTGTCAATTTTGTTTATTTTTCCCAAAAAAACCTTCTTTATTGATTTTTTCTATAGTTTTTCTGTTGTCTATTTGATTTATTTCTGGTCTGATCTTTATTATTTCCCTCCTACTGCTAACTTAGGGTTTAGTTTATTCTTTTTTGAGTTCCTTGAGGTGTAATGTTAAGCTATTTATTTGGAATTTTTCTTCTTTTTTAAATGTAGGTATTTATTGCTATAAACTTCCCTCTTAGAACTGCTTTTGCTGCATCCATAGGTTTTGGTATATTGTGTTTCCATTGTCATTTGTCTGAAGGTATTTTTAAATTTTCCTTTTGATTTCTTCTTTGATCTGTTGTATAGAAGCATGTTGTTTAATTTCCACATATTTGTGAATTTTCCAAGAGTCCTCCTGTTACTGATTTTTAGCTTCATATCATTGTGGTCTGAAATAATACCAATATGATTTCAAACTTCTTAAATTTAAGACTTGCTTTACGGTCTAACATTTGGTCCATCCTTGAGAATGTTCCAGGTGTGTTAGAGAAAAATGCGTATTGTGCTGCTATTGGATGGAAAGTTCTGTATATATCTGCTAGGTCCAGTTGGTTTCAAGTGCAATTCAAGTGCAATTATTTCCTTATTAATTTCTGTCTGGTTTTTCTATTCATTGTTTAAACTGGGGTATTGATGTCCCCTACTATTATTGTATTGCTATCTATTTTTCCCTTCATGTCCATTAATATTCGTTGTATATATAATCTTTAGGTACTCCAATGTTGGATGTGTATATATCCACAATTGTATGTTCTCTGATGCATTGACCCCTTTATCATTAAACAATGATCTTCTGTGTCTCTTGTCTCAGTTTTTACTTGAAGTTTATTTGCTACATAATTTTTAAGGGAAAAATCTGCAGAGGAGAAAAAGGAGAAAGCTAGATAATACATACTGCTCAAACATACTGAAATGTTGCCATCGACTTAAAAATGTTACTTAAAATTTTTAAATATATTAAAAGATGGTGTTGCCCTACCCCATAGTCTCATTTCCAGTAGCAAGCACAGATGAGAGTTTGCGTATGCTTCTAGAAATATGACTAGAAGATTTTTTTAAAGATGCATTATTTCTTGATTATAAAAGCAATGCATGTTCATTGATACATGTTGAAGAAAATACAGCAAATTTAAAAATTAGCAATATATGGCAAGAACACAACTCAGGGGACAATGTTCTTCGAGTTGACTCTGTCCATGCCCCCAAGATCAACGCCCCCTCAGGTCCCGCTCCCAGTCCCCAGGAACACGGTCCCCCACCAGTGGCAGCAGTAAGTGGCCAGGTGGCGCTGCGGAGCTGAGCTCGCGACCATGGCAAGAAATGAGGTGGAGCAGCCGAGCAAGGCAGCACGTGACTTCGGCCTCCGGTGTGACCGCCCGGATCACGTGACAGGGCCCGGAAGCGGCTGTCCGGGCCACCTAGGAGGATGGCGCGTGGTCAGTGCTGAAGCAAGGGGGCGAGCGAGGGTGGGCTGTGCTGAAGCCAGAGCCGGAGCCAGAGCTGGGACCGGAACCCGAGCCGTGAGTCCCTGCGCTGAGCTGCTTCGGCTGGCGGCGCTCACCGCCTTCGGCAGGACCCACCTCGCCCTCCTCCCGGCGTAGCAGATGCTCCAGGTCAGGCACTGGACCGGCGCGGGCTGCGGGTCCGCGACTCTTCGGCTCCCGCGGCTCGCAGCTGCGGTACGATGCGAGCACTCCTCCCGGAACGAGGCGAAGCGGAGCTCCCTTGTCCCTCGCAGTGTCTCCCTTGACCTCGTGGGGTTGGGGTCTCTCCGTCCTGTTTGACAGGTGGGGAAACTGAGGTCCCGAGATGGGGAAGATCACCCAAACGACCGGCTAGGGCTCCTTCCACTCTTCCCAGAGAGGTCTGGCTGTTTCTAATAAGTCTTCTGCCGCTGCGGGAGCTCTGCTGGGGACTTGCTAATAATGAGTCTGTGGATCGCAGAGCACCAGAACTGCAAGGACTCTCGGAAATCGTCTGGTGCAACCCCCTCCTAGGACAGTTGGGGAAACCGAGGCTCAGGAGGGGGTAGCGGCTTTCCTAAGGTCACCCAATGAGTTAGTCGCAGACCTAGCATCCAAGTGTGCCTAAGCTCCGGCGGCAGCTATTTGCTGGTCACCACACCGCCTCCTGCAGGAAACTTGACATGCGAAAAGACACCCCTTTCCTGTCCCTTTCTCTTTTAGTCCTCTCCCTTTTTAGCTGTCTGCATTCTCCATCGCCTGGGTTGGATTGGCTCTGGGTGTGGTTCGCTGTTTGTTCGTGATTTTTCTGCACACTCATCGTTCTGTAGGTTTGGTTTCTGATCGTCCTGCAATTCTGTGTAAGTCATACCAATATATGAAAAACGAATCGGAATATGCTCTTGGGAGGGTAGGTGGCTGAGCTGAGGTTGTGGAGAGCCCTGGTATGAACTTGGAGAATGTAAAGACCTTAGCTTTGTTTTTTCTATAACTTGTCAGATTTGGTAAAGACTAGTTATTTGGGTGGATGTTTCACATTTGTTTGAGATTTTCTGAAATAAGATAGCAGCGTGGTACAATGAAAAGAATCAAGGTTTATGAATCAAGAGATTTTGTTTTAGCTCTTTTACTTACTTGGCAACCTTAGGTGACTTGTGTTTAGGTTTCTCAGTCTATACAGTGATGGAGTTGAATCCCTAGGGGCCCCTTCTGCTCTAATTTGGATGCTCTGCATCTAGGTCTTTTTGTTTTTTATTCAGAGAAATTCTTATCCCCCCCACCCCGTGTTCATTAAGTATGAATCTTGCAACAAGACTTAATCCAGTTATCCAGGAAGCAGTTTCCTTGTACTTATTGCTACCTTGCCATGAAATGCTCCTCCTCTTTCTTCCTATCTCTGTATTATGTCTAAGCTAAATACTAACAGACTATCTTTTTTTTTTTTTTTTTTTTTTGAGACAGAGCCTCACTGTGTTGCCCGGGCTAGAGTGCCGCGGCGTCAGCCTAGCTCACAGCAACCTCAAACTCCTGGGCTCAAGCAAGTCTTCTGCCTCAGCCTCTTGAGTAGCTGGGACTACAGGCATGCGCCACAATGCCCGGCTAATTTTTTCTATATATTTTTAGTTGTCCGATTAATTTCTTTCTATTTTAGTAGAGATGGGGTCTTGCT